TATGACATATACACTCTATTTTCTGAACGCAAGGAGCACTAATTTTCTTAAAATATAATGAAGGATATCTGCGTATCACTGCGACTGTTCGATAGTGTGTGTATATATATATATATATATATATTATTACGTTATGTTATAAATCAATTTACTAACACAATAATAACTTTTTTTAAAAAAATATTTAAAAATTAAAACTTGAAATATCTTATTAACGATACTATTAACACCAAACATACAAAAACAATCATGAGGATACATGGTGGGTGATGCGCAAATGTTGGAAAATATGGATCTTCCCACTCAAACTCCACCCACACAACACCTACAAATTTTTAATAAAAAAACAGCTGAAAATATTCTAGCCCCCCCCACCCCACCCCACCCCACCCCCACCCACTCCACTTCCATTTAATTTTCATATTTTTCCTTAAATATCAGTTTTTTTTTTGGTCATATGGGTTCAGTTTATTAAAGCAGAAAAAGTTTTTTTTTTTTTTTTAAAAAAAAGGTTCCATTTTTTTTGTAATATAATCAGCACAATATTTTTGTGCTTTTTCACTTTTGATTTTGTTGTTTTTCAGCTTAGAAGAAGACAGAGGAGAGCTTTTGTCTTTTTGATTAGCAGAATCTAAGGTTAGTTTTTTTTGTTTTTTTTTTTGTATATATATATGTATTTATTTATTTATATCATGTGTTATTTGTAAAGATTGAATCTTTAGGAGATTTTGAATATTTTTAGTTTTAATATTTCATAAATTTTTTCTTGAGTTGATGTTCATTTTTAGCTTTTTCTCATTGTGATTGTTGATGGAAAAGAAGGGAAAAAAAAAAGGAAAAAGAGAGAATTTGGGATTTGCCAACTTTTTTCCATCAAAGAAATAAAAAAAGAGTAAAAAAACAAAAAAAAATGAGATAGGATTGTTTTTTGTTTCTTTTGATTCTTCAATTTTAACTATTCATTAATGGTTTAATCAATAAAAGAGCAATCTTTTTCACTTCTTTTTGAGGATTTTCTTATGTTATGATATGAGTTTTTTCAAGATTCAATTTTTATTCAGCTTATTTTTTCCTGTTATTAACCTTTAATTTTTTCCCTTTTGCATATGCCATGATGCGCATGGACAACTTATCTCTAATTGGATTTTTTTATTTAACAAGAATTTATTCCAAAGATGTAAACTTTGAGCTTGCTTACACTAAGTATACCATTAGTGGGAATCAGTAGAATAGCCACATGCAATGAGTGGTTAGTTGAACATCCTTTGTCGATAAGTTATACTGTATATATGTCAAAATTACTTTATACTACGTAGGTTTCAATTTGTTTGTGTTACTTTCTCTTTTTGACAACTCTTTAATACTAAATTTTGATATGGCTTGTTTAAGATCACAAGATTAAAGGGAATTTTTCGTACATTTTACATGTCTTTAGTTTAAGACGATTCAAAAGTCCTCTTTAGGTTCTCAAACTCCGTGACTAGTCAAAACCAACCAAATAAATTGAAATAGAGGAAGTATATATTAAATCTTGAAGACCTTTAACGAAATTTTCGGTGGGAATTTGATTGTTTTAATGTCATTTGTATGAACTGAAAGTAATATACTATCTCCTGGTTTGACTTGTCAAGATTTCTGTGTAAATTGTTTTTGGTTATTTGTTGCTACCTCATTTGTGGGATTATATACTAGTTAAGTTATGCGTACATCCTACCGGCCTCCCCGGATCCCACTTGTGAGATTATATTGGGTATGTTGTTGTTGGTTATTTGTGTCGATAGGTCACAGTTACAGTTGGCATAGCAAATGTTTGCTGAAATGTGTATATATATCTATCAATTAACGAATCTATTATATCTCAATTCAAAGCGGTTATATGATTTTATGCTTGTAGCTATAATGCTAGTTGAATCTGTGTGCTATATTTGTTTGATTCTAACCACTAGTATGATATCGGTATTTCAATACAATTTTTATTCAGTCTCATCAAATGAAAAAGGGCCATATAATATGAATTGAACCTTGGAACTTATATTTTCCAACATACTTTGTTGTCTCTTTTGCTGTGATAAACCATCAATACTTATGATTGATGTAAATGGATTTTTCATTTGAGTTGAAAAAATATGCAGTTCCCTGGTTTAATTTATCAAGATTTCTGCGTAAATCGATATTCATCGCCATGAGTTTAAATCTGGCCGTCGACAAAAGCCTAGTGTAAATCGATATGCATCATCATGAGGGATGGGCGTAAAAGTATAAGTGGTTTTTGGTAATTTGTGTCACTTTGCTTGCTCAACAGTAACAGTTGGCATACCAAGTATTTGCTGAGATTTATATATCAACTATATGAATTAAGTGTTTACATGATATGCTAGTAGGAGTAATACTACTTGCATCTGTCTTCCGTATTCGTTTGATTCTAACAACTATAAGGCCTCAAATAACTTTACTTTACAGATTGGAGCAAATTATAGCCGAAGTTCAGCTCTCCCACTTTCGACTTATAATGGGAGGTGTATTGGGTAAGAATGAATCTCCCTCTAGTCCCAAGGCTTCTGTCCCAGAGACTAAGCTCGAGGCCAAAATAACTGAAGCGATGTTGCGGAGGGAAACTGAAGGAAGTTCCATAAGATCATTTGATAGCTTAGTCCTAAAATTTCCCAAAATCGATGAGAACCTGCGAAAATGCAAAGTTATATTCCAGGAATTTGGTAGGTTGGCTGCACGTCCTTTGTCCAATTTTTAATTGTATGATTTTGGTAACGTGTACTTGTATATAAGCACATTCTAGGATGAACTCTGATTTCTTCACTAACCGCTTTTTATATTTACAACTCCCTTTCTTGTTTAAAGGAAAAAGAATGAGAAGAATTCTGTTTTGTTTGTAGATGAAGACAGCAACGGAGCAATAGACCCGCAGGAGTTGAAACACGCTTTCAATAAGCTTGAAATTAATTTTACTGATGAAGAAATCAGCGATCTATTTGAAGCGTGTGATATTAATGAAGATATGGGAATAGAGTTCAGCGAATTCATCGTTCTTCTGTGTCTTGTCTATCTTCTGAAGGATGATCCTTCTGCTCTGCATGCTGTATCCAGCTCACAGTTTTTCTTTTTAACTCATGCTTTTTCAGAAATGTTAGGAAAAGAACATTTTTTTTCAGAAAACGACATTAGTTGATTACTTTCAAGTGAGATGGTGCTTTTCAAAGATTGTTCTCTTTTATGTTGCGCGGACTCTCCAAAAATATTGTTGAGTATGTATCAGATCCTCCAAAAGTAGTGCATTTTGAAGGATCCGACCCAATACGACGATTTTTTTGGAGAGTACGGACAACAGATTATCTGCTTACTTGTTCTCGTGGAGATGCATTCCATTTTCTTAGCATTCTGTAGCCCTTCATGAGGAACTACGTTAACATGTTGTTCCGATCCCCTACCCCCAGCCCCATACGAGCAAAGTTGTTTATTCCTTGACCACATACAGAAATCGCGGATGGGACTACCAAATCTGGAGGTAACATTTGAAACGCTTGTTGATGCTTTTGTGTTTTTAGACAAGAACAAGGATGGCTATGTAAGCAGGAATGAGATGGTTCAAGCAATTAATGAAACTATATCTGGAGAAAGGTCTTCCGGTCGAATCGCAATGAGAAGATTTGGTAAGTTCTCTCTCTCTTTCTCTGTGTGGGCGCATATGTCGAATAGCAATGCGAAACATATCTGTTTTTCTGCTGAAAACTAAGTCTTCAAAGAGTTGTAGCGGCTATGCACTGTTTGTTTAATTTCATACTAGAAAATGCAGAGTCTGCACATATCTTATGTACAATATGTCATAATTTAGGAAGATGTACTGAATGCTCCGGAATTATAAGTGCAGCAATCTTTATGGTAGAAAGACAAGTATGATGTGATTCACATATTTCTTTTCAGTAGACCAATTACTAAGCTTGTTATCAAAGAGAACTTGTGAAAATCTTCGTCAAAAAGAGATGCTCGAAATGCAGAACTAATCCCACCTGTTCTTGTGCATTGCTCGCCAATCTGATTTGGACGATATTTGTGCTCGAAGGATATGACGAGGACACTATTAATCTATAGTCTATTGACTTAATAACTAATTTGTTTTAGCTACTATTTTATCTATTTGTCCATCAAGCTCACGAAGATTTTAACGTATAATGAAGAAATAATAGTAGTTCTATGTTTTATAGGCTTTATCATGTTTAATCGGAAGAGTTTAGGTAAATACTCTATGAGTTTCCTCCCTCATATATTGCAGTCTGTAAAGCCCCCGTCTTTCTGTTTTGCAGAAGAAATGGACTGGGACAAAAATGGAATGGTGAACTTCAAAGAGTTTCTTTTTGCCTTTACTCATTGGGTAGGAATCGAGGACAACGAGGATGAAGAGGGAGAAGAGTAAGATTTCTCACAAAACTTTAAATATATGAAGAGCAAAAACGGAAGCTTCACAATGACCACGAACATAAGTTCCCTTGCCCTTTGCAATAAACAAGTTGTAACACCGGGTGTGTTGATACTTCTTATGATGATCACTCGTGTAAATGAAGTTTCTCTACTTCCTAGTCCTAGTATGCGAGTAGTGCTAGAGATATGTGTTGCAGTGAAGCAACATTAACTTCCATTTAACCATTTTGTACCATTAAAGTTATAAGTTTATGGATTTTGAGTTGTGATTTCATGGATTTGTGTATCCCTCACGCCTCGTTTGATCAGTGTGATCCTTTCAGGCTCTAGGAAGGAAATATTTGTGATTAATGTTCCAATTTTGACGTCTATATATCTGATGAAGTACATCTAACCTTCGATTAATGAAAGATTGTACACTTTGGTTTCTCCAGTTAAGAAGTTTATGATGAACTTGTTAATAGAGAAACCAAAGATGCACATTTATGTGAATTTAAGTGTTAAATATATAGTCAATACGAAAGGATGACTTTCTTTTCTGATCATCTTCAAAAGGAAAGAATGTCATATAAAATGAAACAGATAGGATTCTCTCTTTATTACTTCATTTCTTTAGATGATTTATAACATCCTTGCCTTTCTAGCTTCAAGTAGGCTATTACAATATATTTTTAGTAACTGTGGTGTCCAGGTCAGCTTACGCACACCTCGACTAATTTCATGAAATACCTGCAATATCTCCCACTGATACACAGGTACCGAGCAACTCTATCCACCCGCCAAACTCAACAAAACTCTTCAAACCATTGGATTCATTAGATCATCAGATGATATGTCCCACAAAACACAGTCAGTATTGAACATAGTTGTTGATCCATTTCTTGTTGTTACTACTATTTCTTTACCACTATCCTCACAATTATCATTGCTAATTTTCTTGTTCTGTTGTTGTTGTTGCTGCTGCTGTTGTTGTAATTCGCCTCCGCCTCCGCCTGCTGTGCATGTACTTCCACTACACAAACTTTGATTCCATGGTGAACCATCTTCATCATTAAGCAAATTAGCAAAATTATAGTTACTAAATCCTCCATTATCATGAAAATTACTAGATGTTGTTCCTCCTACACTTGTTTCCCAATTCTTATCACTTTCTTTAATAGCTCTTGATAATCCATACTTAATTTTCTCAATTGTGTTATTATCTTTATAATTATTATTCTCCTCATGCTTAACATGACTTGTACTTGGTGCATTATTATGAGTACTTGTCATATTTGTGAATTGTGTATGAAACTGAAAACCAATTCTTTTTTTGGTTAAAAGATGAAGCATTTCATCTTTGAAACAACCAAGTGCTGCTTCAGCCAAATGAGGGACTTGTGGTGGAGATAATGTTGTTGCAATTTCACTTATTAAGTGTGAAAATGGCTTGTGTGTTACTGGATCAATTCCCATACCAGATAATTTCTTTTTGAGCTTTGTGTTCCAATGGTTCTTCACGTCATTGTCTGTTCTACCGGGAAGTTGAGCAGCTATCACAGACCATCTGTTCGGTTACACGTTAAATCATACTTAGTTAGCAATTAATATAAGTTTCTATATGTTCCATGTTGCTCAAATTCTTCAAAAATAAAATAAAATTGATGAGAATGTGTCTAATCTTTCAAAAATAGCACTTTGAATATTTGACAAGTGAGCGACAATATTCTTAGAGAGTCTAATGCTACTAATAATGGAGGGCACAAAGGTAAATTACATTGTTTTGTTTTGAAACAATAGATAATTGAAAAGATTTGATATCAATCAGTGGCGAACGTAGAATTTTTAGCAAAATCTTCCTGATTATACTAAGGGGCTATGCAATCGATTACAATTAGATATATTGTTGAAATAAAAGGGGATTCATGGTCCAACAATAATAGGTGTCGCGGTGAGGCCAAAGAGGGCCTCTTGTAGAAATGCAAGGTAAAACCATAGTGAAAGGCGTAAAGTATAGAACAATAATCTCTCGTAAAAATACAAGATAAAACCAGAAGCTAAAATTTTAAATTTTTTTTTACCTATTGCCAAGAACAGAGTGAAGTGTGACAATGGTCTGTTCTTCTGCCTCTGAAAATTGGCCATGTTTGAGATCAGGCCTAAGGTAATTTGTCCATCTCAATCTACAACTTTTTCCACATCTTTGTAATCCTGTTCAAAATAAGAGGTAAATTTTTATATGTAAATATAATAAATCGCGAAATAGTAAATATTTTTTTATTGAAGATTATTATATTGTGTATATATATATATGTGTCAAAATTATCTTTTTTTTTTTATGTATATTTTATATCTTGAATATCTTTAACGAAATTACTAATTTCTGATCCACTTATATCAATCTTGGTAGGGCGAGACTTTCTCATGCAAATTCAGATCAGACTAGATATCGAACACCGAAGAAAAAAAAGGTCTAGTGAGAGACAACCAAATGCTTGTGATAGAGCGTGTGTGTCCTTTATAAGAGATTTTGTGAATGGAACTGTATTAGTGGATAAATAAAACAAATAATCGAAACGAACCAGCATGTTTAGGAATGAGACGCCAATTACGAGTTCCATGTTGAGCAATGTAAGATGAAAGTTTGTGATCTTCCTCAGGAGTCCATTGCCCTCTCTTAACATTGTCCTTTTCACAACATGGAATTCTTCCCATATCTAAAAAAAAAAAAATGTAAATTTTTTTTTTCTTATGATGATTAAGTGAAAAGATGAATGAGTTTTTGAAGCTTTTTTTTATTTATTTAACTTAATGTTTTTTTTTAAAAAAAATAAAAATAGTAGAAATGTATATATAGTGTGTTAATGTTATGTGAGCATCAAAGGTGCATGACATTATTAAAGAATTCAACTATGTTGAGCGTGTGAGACATTGGCAGGTAGCCCACCCACAAGACACCTGGTCAACTCTTTTTCTTACTATGTGTTTGTGTGTGCACATGCATGGGGTTGACTATGAGCTCGGAAACAGATTCAGAATTTAAAATTTACGGTTTTAAATTTTTTAGCATTTTCTAAAAGTTGTTGAGGTTTAGCTTCGTAATTTAGAAAAAAAGTCGTTACTCTAGGTTCGATCGAATGTGGCTTTCAACTCCTTTTGCCTAGAGGACATCGTCGGAGGGTAATGTCGGGGATAATCTTCTGCTGGAGAGTAGGGCTTGTCTTGTCTTTGACTTCAACCGGTTGTGTTTCAGTGCTCGACTTGATTATTGAAGAAGCTTTTTGCCTTTGCCTTTGGGCTATGTATTATCCATACATAGTGTTTTGATCTAAGATTTCAATTCTTTCGTGTTTCAACAATACATTCAGAAATCCAAATCGATTACAATGAAATAAACAAAATTCTAATAAATATTTATGGAACAACACTTAACAGGGCGAAGCTAAGGGAAGAAAATGAGTTTAATTGAATCATTTTTGTCCAATCTTTCGGTAGATTTAACTATGAATATTCATGAAGAAATAAATATCGAGTTCTTTTAATTTCTTTCATCGCTAACATGAAAAAAATTATTTTAACATACGAAAACATTCATGAAAAACTATACATATTATCAAATAGAGTAAAAATGATTATTTTTTTTTATCATATATAAATTATTGAATTTCCTTAACATAAATTAAAATAAGGTTAAAACCATTACTTGAATCATGGGTTTAGATACCTAAAGTATAATATTTTAGTAATTATTTTTGAACCCCTATTTAAAAATTAGTAGTATGTTATAATTAAGAATTTGGGTTTATTATAGTTTGGGTTATATACTATATGGTAAATTTATAAGGTTTTTGCATGAGTGGTACAATATAGTTCCTATCTCATGATTTATATATATTAAATACATGCATTAATTTTTTTTTACTAAGAGGTACATTTTTCATTTGCTATTAGAATATATTTATTTTACAAGAATGTCTGGTTGATATTTTCTTTATCATAAAGGGTCACTCTCTTTTGCATGAATCATAAATTTTATACAATTAAATTGAAAAAAAAATAAATATTTATTATTAAATCGAAAATAACTAAATTAAAAACTAATTTACACTATTCTAGTATGAGAAATTTGGATGAACTCTTCAGCTCTACCTAGCTCTGCGCTGTATATATATTCAACATCAAAGTATAATATTAAAATATATAAATTCTTTCATACTTAATACAGTTAATTTTAATATTACCAATAAATATTTAATGATTAGTTTTTTCTCACGGAAAAAAAAAACAAACTTTTTATTATGTTTTTTAACTTTATAAAGCTTAAATATATAATATTGATAACATAGCGGGGATAGCTCAGTTGGGAGAGCGTCAGACTGAAGATCTGAAGGTCACGTGTTCGATCCACGTTCACCGCATATCTTTTTTTTTGTATAATAATATAAACTTATCGTTCGAATAAAAGTATAATATTTGTAATTTTTATTTTTGTATAATAATATAAACTTATCGTTCGAATAAAAGTATAATATTTAAGTCAAGAAGAAATAAGTTGGTTACTTATAATTATCTTGATATCTATCTTTATCTGACTTGTTTTAGTTAATATTATATATTTTTTCTAATTTTTATTTTTGTACAATATAAAACTTAGCGTTATTTACGATTATCTAGACATCTAAATTCTTATTCCTTATTCTAGTTAACACTATTTGTTTGTCTCGAAGAAGGAAATACAAAATATGAACTTGGATACACGTCGCTTGTTTAAATAAAAGTATGATATTTAAGTCGAGAATGATACATTGGTTACTTACTATCTTTATCTGACTTGTTCTGGTTAATACTATATATTTTCTAATTTTTATTTTTTATCATATAAAAGTTAGCGGTATTTACGATTATCTTGACATCTAACTTCCTATGACTTGTTCTAGTCAACACTATATGTTTGTCTCTTGACATCTTACTTTATATGACTTGTTCTAGTTAATACTATATGTTTGTCTTGGAGAAGGAGTCAAAATATGAACTTCAATACATATCACACGATCAAATAGAAGTATGACAGATATTTAAGTACACGATCAAATAGAAGTACGACAGATATTTAAGTAGAGAAGAATAGAAGGTACTAAACTCAGAGACATCTCAGCAATCAAAAGGGTTAAAAAGAAGATAAAAAGACCCACAAAGAATGTAAACAAGAACTGCTAACTTCACATTAACAATTGGTAGCATCAACACTTGCAACATTTGCCATACAACAAACTGTGTAACTGCTTTGATAACTTGCAACAACAAACAATATATGATCATCTTGATTTCACATCTTCAAAATGTTGTACAACTTCGTATGTTTTACTAACGAAAAATAAGATAATCGACTTTTACAAGAAAGAAAGAAACGAAACAAGTTCAAAAGAAATCAAATTCGAGATAGTTATCAGACTTTTGCTGGTATTGAACAGTTACAGCCACGGGTTTCTCACTAGTTGATGATGGCTGCTGTGCTGAGAATCTCTCGAATTCAACAGGTCTTGGGATCTCAGGAGGGCTTGCACAACGAATCAAAGCCCAGTTTACACCTTCGAAAAATGGATGCTGCTTGATTTCTGTAGCTCCTCTTTTGTATGCCAATCGATTTTGTGGCTCTTTCACGAGCAAGCCTCGTATAAGATCTCTAGCTGAAAAACTTACCACTGGAGATTCTGGAAAACGGAGGGGCTGACCTACAACATTGAAAAGTGTAGCTCGGTTTCCTGATCCCTTGAAGGGTGTCTTACCAAACAGTAACTCGTAAAGAAAGATACCAAAGGTCCACCAGTCCACTGCACTCCCATGTCCTTCACCTTTGATTATTTCAGGTGCTAAATACTCGTGTGTCCCAACGAAAGACATCGAACGTGCTCCAGTAGGCTCAGCCATAAGTTCAGGTAATGGGCTAACTTGGTTCCCTGTATCATTTTTAGATTTTTTTTCTTTCTTCGACTTACTAGAAAAGAAGCGAGGCCCAAAACAGGATGTAGTAACAGCACATGATGGCTGGATACAAGAGGGCTCAATGCATGTTGGCTGCACACAGTAACCGGAATTCTTCCGGAGTGGCTCCACATCAATAGACGACAACTTGACAAGTGTTGGACTCACAGCACAACGAAGGGAGAGATCAAAATCAGATAGCATTATGTGTCCATCTTCTCTAACAAGCACATTTTCTGGCTTGAGATCGCGATAAACAATGCCAAGCATGTGAAGGTATTCCATAGCAAGGAGGATCTCAGCTACATAGAACCTAAAATTTGAGATAAAATCAACACCTCATGGAATAATACCAACAGAATCTAAAACAAACTCTTCTCTTCCATTAAAATTGTAAATCAAGACAGGCAAAATTAGAGACAGGCAAACAAGTTTAAAGAGCCTCAATAAAAGGAATTAAGTACGCGCTTTCCACCTGGTAAAACATGAAGTTCATCAAATATATTGGTTTAATCTACTACGCATAAACTCAAACCAAATCCTTAGAGAACGTAAATAATATTCCCTATGTTTCAATTTGTTCGTCTTACTTTTCTTTTTAGTCCATTTCAAAAAGTATGTCTCTTTCGTAAAGGAAGAGCAAATTGCATGTGAAATTCCAATGCAGACAGTCCAAAAACAAAAAATGAACCAGTTACGTAACATAATTCAAGGATATTTATTTCTTACTTTATCAGAAAAACGTATTCCAAAAGTAGTTTAAAAAAAATATATTCTGAAAGTAGTTTTAAAAAAACACATTCCAAAAGTATTCCTAGCTGTATATGGAAGAAGTTCATTTTATGTCAATTTCTTGAGCAACGAAGTTCAGAAAATAACAAGTGGTAGTCTATAGAATTCAAGATTTCGCATCCTATTATAGCTATATCCTGCAGAGATAGCTATTTATTTCAAGTTAGTAGAGATTTAACACTACAATAATTGAAACAAGAAAAAGTTGCCCATAAGACTTACACATGTGGCGAATCTTTGTCAACACTAAAGCAATTAATAGTACAAACCACGGAACACCAAAACCAGGCAAAAATACTTCCAGATAAAGAGAGCATACCATGTTAAGACTAAGAGGTTTGAGATAAACAACTTATCAAGAAAGTAAATAAATCAACAAAGAGGTTTCGGATAAAGTAATCATACTTCACAGCTTGTTCAGAAAAATGCTTCCCTGGTTGCCTCTGACGAAGTGTGTGCAAGTCACCTCCTGGGCAAAACTCCATTACTAGACATGAAAACTTTTCTGTCTCAAAATGGGTATATAAAGTTGGTAGAAATGGATGGTCCAAGGACTGCAATATCTCTCTCTCCGTTTGAGCACGTAGCAATTTCTTACGGCCAGCTAATGATGCTTTATCCATGACTTTCATTGCAAAATAACACTTTGTTCCACACAGCTCCGACAGATAGACACTTCCAATATCACCACTTCCCAACTTCTTTAGCAACCGGAAATGTCTCAAATCTAATGTTCCATCTTTAGCTCGAATAGCTTGAATGGCTTCCCATCTTGAGTCATTAGCTTTGTGGGGTTTATTAATAGTGGTGCTAAAGCTGCTGCAAGTACTTTCATCACTTACATCGGTGCTTGTGCTTCCCCTACAGATGCTGCTCTTTCCACTCTCAACAAAATCAGCTCGATCGCTAACTTTGGCACTTCCACTTGTTTTTGCAAGGCTACCGGCCCCATCACTGACTTTGGCTGGGGCTGAGTTATCCTTGATGTCTCCATTTCCTGATGCCTTCTTTTCCTGATCAACAGCGCACTGCGAGCCCTTTGCTTCACAGAGTGCGGAAGCTGCACCGCTTGGAGCATGCTTCAGATTTCCTAAATATAAGCTCGAATCAAACTTATCAACCAATAAGTCGGCAGATCCTACTTGCTGATAGCTATTTGACTTCTTTTTGGTTGTTGCTTCTGCCATAAGTTGCTTAGATGCAACTTCTCGATCATTGTGTTGTAGCTCCTTCGAAGTCGTGCTCCCAGAATTGATACTTTTTGAAACTTGGGAAGGTGCTGATCTCCGAGGATTGCGTTCTACTGCTTGAATTCCAGCTGACTTATTCAGCTTTTCCAGTGAACTCTTGACAGAAGGTGTTGACGCCATTAAATTGAACAACGAATCCTCAATGCAGTCTGGTCAACCAAGCCCATAACACAGCGTCCAAGTTCACTTCATGTACACCCTAGTCATCAGCAAAAGAGATCGTGATCAAAAGCTCCATAAACAGCATAAAATTCCCAAGTTTAAAAGTATAAAACTTTATTAAACACAATTAAGAGACAGAGAGAGAACTTGGAGGACAGGTTATCCATAGGATGAAATGACAATAAATCAAGATAACATCAAAACTGTTATAGAGTGGAAAACAGATAAAAGAAACTATTCGGCGATTTGAGAACCATGAGGTCTCAGGTTCAAATTCCAACAAAGACAAAAAAACACTAAGGTGATTTCTTCTCATATGTCCTAACTCCTAACCTTGGTGGACAAAGTTACCTAGAAGCTGTTGGTAGCTGGCAAGTATAACATGAAATTAGTCAAAGGTGCACGCAAAAATAAGAAACTACAGCAATAAACAACAAAAGACATTTCTGAGCTTAAAAAATAGATCTTTAAGCAACAGGACAAGCACACTGAGATATCTATGATGACTTCAAAATCCACAATAATTAACCAATTAACTGCACAGACCCAAAATCACAAGTAGTGCAAACAAATGTCCAAGAGCTAAAATCACAGTAATTTACCTCAAAAGCCCAAATCTTTTCTTAGGACCATGAAGTGAACCACAACACCAAATCATAAAATGCATACATTCAACAGCACCCAAAAGCCATTTTTAACACCACAGAGCATAAAACTAACACAACCCCACATAGATAAACAAGAAAAGCAATACAGAAGGGTCAATGAAAAAGTACACAGATCTTGTGCCAAGACATAAACTTTTTTCAAGAAAACCCTACCAAAAGGATCAAATAACAGCCCCATATGCTAAAAAACAAAGTAATGAAAGAAACTCATCCAGAAAGATACAGGGACCATTTCCAAAATATATAAAAAGAAAGTAGTCTAAAGAATTGTACCTGAAGTGTCACAAAGATCAAAACTTTTTAGGGTCTCTCTCTGCTTTAGCAATGGGGGATTAGCAGCACTACTGTTGACAGAGATAAAGAGAAAGGGGGACCTCCAAAGAAAACTATGTGGAGAGAGAGAAGAAAGAAAAGAAGTGCTTTTTTTGAAAGTGTTGAAAGAAGCTTTGGGGACTTTACCAAACAAAAAATACACTTAATTGTATGGGGAAGAGAGGAGTTGGGGTGTGGTGGGGTTTGAACTTTTTCTTTGTTTATCTAAGCATAGTTCCGATTAATTACATCGTATTCCAGAAGTTTCGTTAATTACAATAGTATTTAGGGTTAATTATATTTTAATTTTGAAGTTTCCTCAAATACAATATTTTTTAGATTTTTTATTAGTTTCGTATACATTTTTTGGTTGTATGATACATTAATATTCAATGAGATATATGTATACAAGAGGAGATAAGAATATATACGAAAAGGATGGAGATATATTCGAGAAAGGATATAGATGTATATCTTAAAATGATAATTTTTTTTAGAAATTATGATATTTTAAGTTATGTATTTATGCAATATATTCTTGTCAACATCTACGCCGAGCCAATTAAATATGAATATGGGTTGAATTTTTTGAGAAAATGGACACAAACTTATATAAAATTTATGTGTTTTTAATCTGAATTATCATGTGTACATTTTTTTATATGAATTATCACCAACTATTCATTACAATACACTTTAATGATCCGTTATTCCATTTACTATTTGAACAATGATGAAATTTCAGATAAAAAAGCGGAACAATCATGGTTGAGGTGTGTTATGATAAATAGTTGGTTCAAATAGAAAAACTAAACACTCAATAGTTTAATAAAAAAAAACTTACAAAACATAACCATTAACTCTTTTTTATATTAGAATATGAAATGATCTATAACAAAAACAAATTTACAAACTAAATAATAATAAAAAATATTTATCATTTTACCGCAATTAAATTTTATTGTTGTGTCTAAGCTTTTCATGTTCAACAATTTTCAATGTATTTTGTCCCAAACACAAGAGTCTGAATCAACATATGGGCCACCACAGTCTCCAACCTGTCTCTCATGCTTTCAGTATATATTAAATCATATTTAATTTAATTAACTAAATACATAAATAAGAAAAAAAAATTCCTTCTTTAATCTAATAATACTTTGATGATAATAATATGTCAAACATTAAAGAAAACCTGTTGACTATTGGATTAAAGGGAAGTAAAAAAGAGTCAAAAAAAATTGAGCAACTTTGACTATTAATTTTTTATTTTTTTTATTATACTTTGACTGATATTAACCATTAGAAAAAAAGATCTTATTTTCATATGTATCCTATATAAGGTTAATTTCAAATTTTACTTAGCTAAGAAGTAAATTTTGAGTTTTTCTTAAAAGGAGTTTGAATACGTGAAATTCATCAAATTCAAATTTTGAAGTTTATTAATGACAAAACGAATACGAAATGATTTTTTTAATAAATAAGGATGAATAGAAAATGTAATTGAGAATAAAAATGAATATTTTTTTTTAAAAGAAATAAGGAGATAGAATTTGATAATATTATAAATTGGTAATTATGGTCCAAGTTAGGTGCAATATTTTTAAAATTGTATGTCTATTTTGGTAAGGTTTCAAGTTAAACATAAAGGTTTATTTGCTAACAAGAATTTGGACAAATATAAAAGTCCAAAAATAAGAAAACATTCATATAAATATGAATTAGTAAAATAAAAATAAAATTAGAAAAGGCTAGCTGAGTTTTAGATTTCACAAAAGAGAGTTTTACACAAATTTAAATAAATTGAATCGGCTATTTTCGTTCTCTTTTTTAGCTGAAACTTTATAAATATCATCCCGTTTTATAATAAGATGTTTAGATATGGACTATACTTCAAAAGGAGCCAAATGAAGGTATGGTCTTCATTTTGTTATTTGACATCTTCTCTTCGGATAATTAAAAGTGTTCAGTGATAACTTCTCAATTGTCACCATCTCACCTCTTCTATCATGCTACCACGTAGAGTAGTCTGCGTCAATTTCATTAGAGCAAAAAAGCTTATACTTATTCATATTTTGAACAGGAAAAAAAATATATTACAATATCGTTTGAATTTTTTATCCTTGCTTCTCCAATTTAATTAATGGATTACTATTATCACCAATAGAAATAATTGAATCATAACTATAATGATTGGTAATAATAGCAATAATTATAGTTGAAGAGACGTAATTATTTTCATTTTCCCCTTTTTTCTCCAAAATTTCTGAATAAAAAAAAACACTTAAATCTAGTTAAGTCCAATTGCATTTGACAATGGATAAAATTCCACATTTATTTAACCAAAATTAAGGCTATTTTGTCATTGCATAATTATTGAATAAAGCTTTTTTTTTTTTTTGGAAGGGTCATGTTTTAAAAATAACATCTTTTTCTTTACATACACAAGTTGATGTGTGACATTTGCAAAAAGAAAGGTTGCTTTCAAGCGTGATCATGTCTAAAGATATATATCAAAAGGGAGGGAGGAGAGAGGCCAACGAGAGAGGAAGGTTGAAAGTGTCGATGAATTTCACAATTTCGTAAGAATATCACTAGATTATGAATATATAGCAACTGTGTTTTGCTTATAGACGAAATTATTTTTTACCATCAAAAGTCATGGCAAATATTCTCTTCAATCCTTAATAAAAAAATATATAGGGTACGAACTTTAAAAACAAACCCTTCATCTTGAGGGCTGTGGCAACTAAATGGCATTAGAGAAGCACAACCATTAGTCAGTATGGACTTGCTAAAACTTTGAGAATATCCTATTCTCCTCCCTCATTACATTAAGACAGTAAAACAACTACTCGTACAGGCTTGACGGAGTGAAGCTGTATTGAGGGAATTTTTTTTGTCTCAATCAATCAAGAATGCCTCAACTGGATAAATTCACTTATTTCACACAATTCTTCTGGTCATGTGATGCCTCAGTTCCAACAAGTTGGATTGGGAAGTAAAGCGATAACTAAATGATGTGCATGAAACTACACAAGGGGGATCAAAATAAACACTCTGCTTACTTGTATTTCATGGAAATCTGGAGAAGTGGTAAAAACAGATAATATCGAGATGGCCTAGGCACAGGGTAAATATCAATAAGCTGGAGAACATGTTATATCGAGAGTCTTTCTGAAAGATTGAAAGCACTTTTGACAAATGTATCACCTTTTCTTGAGAGCATAACCAGCAGGCTGCCGTCTATTGGATCACAATGTTATAACCAAAGTGATGAATCATTTCCCTTCAGAGACGGAAACAACATGAGATACACATAGCAGCTTCAATTGAAGAGCTCTGTGTTCACCCAGTCCCTAATAATTTGATGAGGAAAAGCAAAAACACAGTGAATCTCTTAGAAAGAAAGCAGATATTGCGAGTTCAATCAATCTACAGGGTAAAGCTCTTACTTGCTAATGTCATCAAGGTGGTCATCGAAATCTATAATATCCTTCCATTTCCCCGATGAAATGAAATCTAGAAGGATGACATTTGCTGATGGCTGTTTAATTTTCAAACGGCTGCTTCCATCTGATCCCACTAGTTTCCAGCTCCTAGATGTATCCTTGGTGTAAAGCTGAACATGAAGCAAAAGGCTACATTAATGGAACTGCTTTTAGAGGCACCGACAAGGGACATAATTACAACATTAGTGAAGAAAACTATAGTATACTAGCTACACAAAGTAAACTATCAGTACATAAAGAACTATCAAGAACAAGTGAAAGTTATGAAAAATCGGATCTTTAACAACATGTAAGGGGGACCAAAATAAACGTGGAGCAAAATCTAGACCACTCTGCGTGCTATTATTTCATGGAAAATTGGAGAAGTGGTAAAACAGATAAATCAGATGGCCTAGGTACAGGGCAATATTAATAAGCTGGAGAATATGTTATATTGAGTCTTCCTGAAAGATGTTTCATAGTGCAATGCTTACTTGAACTAGAACTAGAGTGGGTGCATTTGGTTGGTGTATCATTAATCATATAAAACAATCAATTGGCAAACTGTTAAAAAACAATTGGGTTGACATCCAATTATTGTTAAGCATTTTAAGGCCCTTTTCCTAAAAGATATCAAATAATTCCTGTCCCGTTCACACAAATGAGCCAAGCACAGTTAAATGTTCCTTCATATTAAGTATTTACAGCTCACTGTTAAATATTATCAAATTCAACCAGGTGACAACAAATATCTGGATGGTTAATGGCTTTTACAAACTATCAACTAGACATAGAACAGGCTTTAGTTTTCAATTAAAGTTGATATAGAGACACATACTTTCTCAATCTAACTTTTAGCCTACGCAAAATGCAAAGCAAAAACCACAAAGAAATAGGTCATGTAACGAAAAGCCTACTAGAGCATCACTGAGTCTTCTGAAAGGCCAGAAGAAAGTGCATGAATGGTCAAATCTGGGCAAGCAAATCTAGATATCCCAAGGAAACCATGGTTCTACTTCAGAGTTCAGAGGATATAGAAAACCAGCAAATCTCAAAATCCAGCATGTTAGCCATTAATTCAGTGATTACCATTACCAAAAATAGCCCTCAACGAAAAGTCATGCAAGTCGAACTGAAGTAAAACTGAAATAGATACACCACCATCTGTAGAATAATGCAGATAAAACAATGCAACTATCATGGTACTTAAAAATCTCAGGCAACTATGGCAAAATGTTCTCTAAATCACTAACTATTGTTAGTCACAACTTCAACAGTGAAAGGTTATCCACTTCACTTCTGTTATACATGACAAGTATGAAACAGAGCACCATCTCTGGTTTTCCGTTTTTACTTAAAACGAAGTGCTTAGAAGAAGATTAATATTTCAGCTTTGGAAGATATATTCAGTAACAAATCAATGTTCCAAGAAACTATGTATCGAAACCAAAATACTGATCCCTGATGCTCAAATTAAGAGTAAACCTTTTGTGCAAGAAGATAGAATAAACCAAGACATACATCCTAAGGAGACCTGACACTTCTATACAAATTACTTCCTCTATCCCGATTTATGTGGCCCGCTTTCTCTTTTTAGTCCGTCCCACTAGAACTTATCACCAGAGACCACATGATAGACGGATGAATGGTTACTTCTCCATCATCCATAAAAACAATATAAGGGAAATATTACGAAATGATCAAAAGTAATACTAGCACAAGGAAATGAGCAATCAACATCTGCAATCAACTAGTAAAAAGAAGCACAAGTCAATGAGACTACACTTATTACACAGCAGCAGCTAATTCTATCATGAGGCTACATATTAGTCTGAGTTGTTAGATATAAATGGGGAAAAAAACAGCTAAATTTTGTATCATGTACAAACAGAAGAGGCTATGATTTTCCTGTAGCCAATCCCATAAAACTCCCAGTTTGAGTTGAATTCTGACAAATGAGGTTACTCCATAGCAAGAACTTTCCACTTCCAACAAAGAAATTGGGAGAATCGCCAAAGATGGGTTGAGGACTCTGAACTTTGTCATTGATTATCAGATGAACAAGGAAAAATGTTAAAATTTGTATGTACTGACCTGCATTACAGGACTCCTGTCTTTCCCCTCTTTTGATAAAGTTTCAAACTTCTTGTTATCCAGCTGAAACGGTAAAACTCTCAGCTTAAGAATTTTCCTAACAACATTTCAAAGATCCAAACTTTCAATAAACACACGAAAGACAAAAAAATGTTCAACAACAAAAAGGTACCAGGAGCACAGCAGCTTGAGGGAAATATTTGTAGATATGATCTGCAATATTCTTAGCAACACTTCCTAGCTCGGAATCATCAAATCTCTCATTGGCATGAAAGTAACCAACAATACTTAAACCTTTATCAAAATAATACTCCTCAATCTGTCCAAATAAAACAGGATTAGCATCCTAAATAAAATGCAGAAACTTAGAAGCATATCAATGATTTTCAGTCAGCAAGTTCAAAGTATCACCATATCCGTTACTCCTCTATAACAATTTTGGTTCTAGTTTCATTTACACACTTATACAAACCTATATATAAACAAAAATACACAACACTCTCAGAGGCAGATCCAAGATTTAAAGTCAGCTCAAAGTATGTCCTATATACATGTACCATCTAGTAGCTTTTGCACGGACCCTATATATTCATTAACAAATCATATATAAAATTTTGATTGTATATAAACTTGAAGTCATCATAGGAACTCATAAAATTCAAATCCTCAATCTGTCTCTGTATATATATATGTATATATATATATATAAAATTGATTGTATATTAACTTGAAGTCATTATAGGAACTCATAAACTTCAAATCCTGATTCCTACTCATAATAGACAAATCCGAGAACTTAAATCAGCTCAGAGCATGTATGTATGTATACATGTGCAATTCAGTAGCTTTTGCACAGAACCTATACATACATTAACAAATCCACTAAATATCTATACATATTTGACTATGAACTCAGTTGTTATAGTAAATTAACTTGAGGTCGTTGAAGTACTCATAAGCTTCAAATCCTCACATAAACAGACTATATTCAAACAAAACAATTGTATAAAATTTCAGTTCATCGCAGTGAATATGCAATATGGAGTGTAGTGACGAACCATAATTAGGGCAATTTCGAGAGGAGGAAGGACGCCAATTTGGGAGTGGAACAATGGAACGGACTCCACAATTTCTACGACGGCGGAGTCGCCGGAGATACGGCCGAGGAGGACGCCGTTGACGGCGGAAGTTTTGTGCTTCGATGCATGGAGGACTAGCTTGATGTAAGCGTTTTGGTGAATTTCGTACGTTGATTCGATCCCCATTTCGCAGAGCAAAATTTTGTGTAAATTGTCACAAATGATAATAAAATTTAGTGCACAGTGTTATTTAAAACTAGTTAATTCCTTTTAAACTAATCTGAGTCTGTTAATTAATTCGAAAAATTTAGCGTGTACTATAGCGCGCATACAAAAACACATGTAATTATAAATTCATATATTATAAATCGAAATGTTAAAAACAATGTTTGTCAGGGTGAGTATTGGTCATTAGTTATTTGATACGGACTGTTGATCAATCAAAATAACGAAAATCAAAATGTACACAATATCCATAAAAGATGCTCATTATCATGAATTCGTATTTCATAATTTTGAAAACATTCTAAAAACGATGTATATCCCAATGAGTATTAGTCGCACATTGTTTTTGATGAAGTCCGTAGACAAAATTAAGAAAAAATTAATATGTACACTTAGGCAAACAAATGCCCATAATCATGAATTTATGCATAATAACCTCAAAACACTAAAAGAAACTTTTTTAATGGCCTACTTCCAGATTTAGACATATCTTTTACGGAGTTAGGCAAGTTTAAGCTGGAGTATGCATCCTATGAGAGATTTCATAGAATGTGATCGTAGTATGTCACTTCGTCTCGTCCCCACTGCATCGAAGAGTACCTATGCACTATATTCCACCAGAATAATTTAAATGGAATTACTCAGAGAATGAACTTCGAAGAGGTAGACCGAAGAGATAGAGTAGAAATTAGTATTAGAAAATAAAAATTGGCATATAGTACAAAATACTTCAAATTAATCAAAGTCCATCAACCAAATTGAAAGATATAAGCATGCACTATACAAACAAAAAAAAAACATTCATAGTCAAACTTAAACTTTAAATACTTCCATTATAGCTCACACCCACAATTACCAATATCAAATAAAATAAAGAAGAAAACATGTGCTTTTTAATATAATGAATTTATGGACAAAAATAAAAAGTTAAGGAGACAAGTGACAGCAAAAGTAAGTAAAGGCAGGCCCCATCAATAGAACCAATCAAAATATTACTTTGCTTCATTTTAATTTATGTGAGATATTTGATTCCAAAAATATCAAGAGAACCAACCAAATATTACTTTGCTTCATTTTAATTTTAGTTAAATATTTCATTCCAATAAAATTATGGTAAGGCTGAGTATAGTAAAGACTCTTGTGATAGGATTTTTCACTAAATTTTGTGTATAGTTAAACTTTTAAATACATCGAACTGTTATTTATTCGATTTAAAAAATATTCAAGAAAATTAATTGTGTTATTAAAAATAAAATAATAATTTTATAATTAATTTACTCGATTGGATGACACACTTTCTATTTCAAGTTTTTGGTAAAGAAATAAATTATTGATAGTTGGTAAGAAGCCTTCTCTTGAATGGCCCTATTTGGTGCAAAAAATTAAAATGATTTGAAGTTATAATATAAATATGGAATATCAAAATTCGAGAGTGAGTGAAAATGACAATCATTCGTGGTCAGTGACTCCAATTCTTGGAATCAAATTCTTCTTCATTCATTTACTTTGCAACTTGTGTTGTCAGCATATTGTTGATTCTCCTGAAAAATTCCAACATTCTTTTTTTGTTAGATTCTAAAATTTTCTTGAAGTTCAGTATCTTAATGTTTGAGGGAAGTGTCAAAGATTTGATTTTTATTTGACAGTAAAGAGAGAAAACCAGTGTTAAAGATTGTGTCTTGTTAATGGAACTGGTAGCTTACTCTGACCCCATGACTGAATCAAGAAACTCTAGCCCACCATGGCAAGAAATGTTTCGATCTGCTGCAATGAAGAAAACTGACCAACAAACAAAGAATCATGGCTCCCCACAGACTCCTCCCAAAACCCCAGAAGCCAAAGAGCAACAAGTTCACAACTTTTTATCAGATGAAGCTCAGGTATATTGTTGAAGCGTGTAATTATCTCATCTAAAAGTTTATAGTTACGGATAGACAGAAGGATAGTAGAAATAATAGTGTGTATAGGTTGAAAATTACTTCTGATAAGTATGTGTTCATCTCATCTAAACGCTTAATTCCACATATGTTAAATGGGGAGCTGGTGTGGGGCTTATATAGCCTTGAGCCCTCCCACCTCAATAGCTAGAGCCTTTGGGTGTGTTTCTCCTAAGGTTCTATCAACTTAAAACTCTGTGGAGACTGATGTTTGCTAGCTTTTAGAGTTTAGTCAGGTTCAAAGTTCATTTCTTTGTGAATGTTGAAATGTCCGAGTGGAAGAGTCCATATTTTCACCAAAGGAATTCAAAATATAAAGAAGTAAATATAGAAGAGGTCAAGTGAATTCAACATCTATAATATATACATAAAACATAATTTTTACCATATATATAGAGTATAGTTTTCTGGTGAAAGAGGTTTGGATGAACCTCCTCGTTGCCCCCTAGCTCTACTAGTGTGGTCATCTCGTATAAAAGCTTAATATGTTAGAGAGAGAGCATTTTTATAAACGTAACTATATTATGTTTCAACAGGTACGCTTCGCACTCTATATAGCGATGGCTCATGCTGGTCTTGCTTTCACAATTTTCAGTCTTTATGCTGTTGGCAAATTGCTTGAAGAATATTTAAGGCCTATTTTGTGGGCTGTGCTTTGTTCAATACCTTTAAGAGGAATTCAGCAAGCCCTTGTTGCATTTTGGTCTGAACCTTTAAAGCTAGGCCTCACAGAGACCATTATGGCGATCCCAGTTGCTGTATTCAGGATTTTTGTTGGAACCCTTGTTGATATCAGGGAAATGATTTTCAGAGTTGTTCTACGGAGACAGAAAGGTAGTGCTTTGAAGCGTAATCGAAGTGGATTTTTTATGTTGTTGAGGTGGCTAGTTTCATTTTGGGTGTTTGTGATGGCATATGAGCAAATCGGTCTCTTTGGATCAGTTGCTCTTCTTGCTTTGGGGTTTATGTTTCCTGTTAACAGTGTTGAGTCTACGATGGATGCAGTAACGTCTTTCAGGAGTCATAGTTTTCGTAGACTGTCGATATCTGCTTTCTTCACTAGAGGGATATTGAAAAGATTGAAAACCATTGTGGCGGTAGGACTTATTATTGGGCTGAGCGTAGGTTCTTTGGCAGGTACAATTTTCTTCTCTTATGAGATTGGAATTGAAGGAAAAGACGCTGTTATTGCGTTAAAATCACGTGTAGAGGAGAGTAATTATGCTGAGAAAATTGGTGTCAAACAATGGATGGATGAAAATGATGTCCCCGCTATGGTCGATAAGTACAGTAATCAATTGTATGAGACTGTATTCTACCAGCTAGATAGCTATGCTAAGCAATATAATATGACTGAGTTTGTTTCCGGGATCAAACATTTTATCACTACTCCGGTGAATAGTTCTTTTGAGCGTTCTACAGCTTTGTCATCCCGCTCTAGATACACTAAGAAGATCATGAGCATAAAAAAGAGGATTAAGGATCGCGAATGGAGACAAATGTATACAGAAATGGACGCGTTTTTCAAGGAATTGTTGATCACTAGAAAGGACTTGGTTGAAAAGGCAAAAGGATTTGCCCTTCAAGGAGCAAATGTAATGCAAGGAGTAATAATTACTAGCTCATCTCTTTTAGGTAGCAGTATGCAGGTCATGTTTTCGATTGGAAATTCTATACTTTCAGGAGCTGCAGGTCTTTTCAATTTCGTGTCCCAGTCGATGGTGTTCTTTTGGGTACTTTATTATCTTATCACATCGGAGTCTGGAGGAGCAACGGAACAAGTAATATGTATGCTTCCAATACCACATTCTGCAAGAACTCGATGTGTTGAAGTTCTTGATAAAGCAATTTCTGGTGTCATTTTAGCTACTGCTGAGATTGCATTCTTTCAGGGATGCCTGACTTGGCTCTTGTTTAGATTATACTCGATACATTTTCTGTACATGTCGACTGTTCTTGCATTTATAAGTCCTTTGTTTCCGATATTCCCTACGTGGCTTTCAACTATCCCAACAGCATTACAGTTGGTGTTTGAAGGTCGATACATGTTGGCGATCAGTTTATCCTTTATCCATCTTGTGCTTATGGACTATGGTACTTCGGAAATTCAAGATGATATCCCTGGCTATAGTGCATATCTCACTGGTCTCAGCATCATCGGTGGAATGACACTGTGCTCTTCAGCAATTGAGGTAAATAACAAGTATCATTGAATTTCTCATAAATTTTTGCATCTCTTTGTTAGCATATGTTGAAAGTATTCTCTTCACTTCTTCCTCTTCTTGACCACGAGAAGAAGTACGTAAACTAAGGGTGTAGCCTAGTGGTCATGAGTGAAAACCTTGAGACCAGGACTCTAATCCCACATTGGTCTTAGCCTTGGTGGAGATATACATGTGCGGGTGAGAGGTAGCAGGTACACAGTTGAATCGTTGAGGTATGCGTAAGCTTGGCTTGACTCCATCAACAATAACATACACAGTGTAGTATCACAAGGTGGGATCTAGGGAGGGTAGTGTAAGCATACCTTACCCTTACCTTGTGAAGGTAGAAAGACTATTTCTGATAGACACTCGACTCAAGTAAGTATGTCACTAATATAGTAACGATGGAGTCATCTTGAAAACAGTTATGAAGAGAGCAAGTAGCAGCACATATATGATAACTGAACTAGACAACACTCGACTATCTACAGACCTTTTACCCTAATTCTTGACCTCCATATCTTCTTATGTAGTGGCACTCAGCTGCACGCCTCTGTTATTTTGCCAAGCAAGTAAAGATAAGTGGATGATCAGTTAGCTGAAGAAATGCATGTAATTTTCCCAAAACCATTAGAAAGAGAATGAGTTACTTCTTTTCGTTTAAAGGTGGCGTTGCTTGATATTAGTTGTTCATGGTTATGTTATGCAGGGAGCAATAATGGGTCCGCTAATAACTACTGTTGTGATTGGAATCAAAGATTTGTATGTCGAGTTTGTACTGGAAGCACAGAAGGAATAAACAGAACTAACTCGAATGTTGTCTCCTACATGCATTCAAAACCTCTTGTACTGCAACTTAGCTTGATTCGTGAAGTGTTACAATGGAACACTGAATCTTTTTTCGCGGATCAATGGTTGGATTTGGTTCTCCCTGTGGTGGACTGTCTGTGTTCTCTGCAAATTGGCTCGACATTTATGTATGTTTCAACAATCTGTCAATTCGTCTTCCTCTGCAAATTGGCTTGAGGTCTTATGTATGTCCCCAAAATCTGTCAATATGTGTGTGTATTTTTTCAAGCTCTTCAGTTACTGTATATTTATATGTAGTATCACTTTTCTGAATATCTTATTGTATGAAGAGTTAGTTATTTTCCATCATCTCTACCACTTTTTTTATATCTTTGATAGGACACTTCCTAATATGTGCTAGAGATCATTAGCTTCTTGATACATTTAAGATTTGAAGTTTATATATTATTAATACTTGATAAGTAGATCACTTGAACACAAATATAAAGTTTAAAGTTCTACCGAACCCCTTAAACGATGGTGTCAGTCCGCCCCTGAATTTGAAATGCATGTACTCATCTTCTTCGTTCATGCTGAAAAAGAAATCCTAATACATAATTGAAAAACCCAGGTAAATGTAGGACTTTTGGTGCTAATGAAAAGAATGAAAAGGAGTCATTTGGTTTAATCACAGCAAATGTATATTCAACATCATAAAACGTATAGTATCATAAAAATTGAGAATGATTTAGTGTTTTGGTTTACACACACACTACAATAGCAAAACAAAACAGTTCAATTTGCTTCGATTAAGTTGAAGGTACACTGCATGGTAAGCATGGATGGACATTATAATATTTGCCAACTCTAGGAGCATTTTTCAAAGACATGTTTCACTTCATGTATTTATGAAGAAACTTTCTGTGAAAGTCATTCCGGATAGTGTCATTGATGAAGCGCTTAGCTGCCTTCATTTCACCTCGAGCTTGGTTCTTGAAAACTACATCATCATCCCACCTGAGAATACAGAAGCACATCTGATGAGAACAAAAAAAAATCATAGCTACAGAATCTTATCAAAGCGAGAGTTTAAAGACAAACAAACCTTCGCTTCACACTGAAAGTTGTTGGCTGGTTGTTGTTTAACAGAGGGTTTCCTCTCAATAATTCCGCCTCCTTTGCTTTAAGCTCTTCCTCTTGCTCTAGCCTTTCCTGCCAAAATCACACAATTACAAGGGGATAAACAAGTTAAACAAAATCACATGACTGGTTGGCTTTTTACATGAATGTGAAACTGGTATTAACTCTTTTAGATGAGATAAAATCCCATCACATAATGTCACAACGAAATTGATAGCAAAAATTTGAAGTAAATGAGCATCTAGTTAGTACTTACTTTCCGAAGTTTTTCCTCTGCTTTTTCTTTCTTTATCTGTTCAAGCTCTGCCAAGAGAGCTTCTGTATCATCTTCATCATCGTCATCATCATCGTCGTCATCACTAATCTCAGTGAACATAGAAACAACTTATTAGTTCCTGACTCACAATTACTATTAAAGTTAAACAGCAATTTCGAGACGAGAAGAAACCACATCAAGAAAGCAATACAACATCAGTTTAGTACATAACGTAAGAAAACAGTTTAGTTTTAGTATAAGAAAGATGTTTATTCAAACGATGTGCCTTCTGTGAGAACATTAATCCATAAGTTGTATATCGAAAATAATATATATGCACAAGTGCAGGAGATTACAAACCTCTCATCACCACTCTTAACATCCACATCGGCATCATCAGCATCAGCACTCCGCGGAACAATACGATCTTCAATCTCTCGTTTAGCCCCTGCAACAACAATGTTGTCAATTGATAAAGAAAGTTAATGAAAAACATGTCAGAAATCCAAGATTAATCCAACCAAAAAACAGTCACTCACCTTCCACAAAGAGTTGACTACCTTTTCGACGATCTCTGTCATCTACAATCGAATAACAATACAAAGTTAGGCACTGAACAAAAGTCAGCCTATAATTAAACAAGTCTGTGGGCAGGTCTCTCTCTCTCTCTCTCTCACACACACACTCTCACTAACACACTTTGGGGTTGGGGTTTGGGGGGATGTGCAGACTTTAATTACCATTATAACTCTTGTCTTTAGAGAAATGCCTCCGCTCACGGTCCTCCAACTCATCCCGGAGGTTCCTCTTCTGCAACTCATCCTGGGTGTCTTGTCCTTCCTTTCTGTGACATACATGACAACAGGAAAAGAGATTAACAATTCGAAATCAGGCTATAGAGTATAAACAACTAATTAAAAGTTACTCAAGTGATAAACATCTCAATTTCACATTCCAGGAAATTCATCAATCAATTTAGGAGTAATCCGAGTATTGGCCATTCAACCTGGTTCTGGCAGACACATCATGTTATCTTTTAGCTTTTAAATCTTTATCAAAAAAATCTTTTTAGCTTGTAAATCTTTATCAAAAAATCTTTTAGCTTTTAAATAAAATTAGAATAATTACAAGTTGCTGATGCTTTTCTTTGGAAAAACCATGATACACATTTATCATACTTTTTGGAGCATAATGTTCCAATAGCTTACCATTTTCTGATACAGGAAGCACATTTAAGAACGTTCTTTTTAGTTTTAACATGTATACACCAATATTTCTTACTCTCAGAGGTTGGTTGAGCAATTCTTTTCTTATGATCAAGAAAACAGTAGGACCAATCAAAACCTTTGAAACTCGGGGATAACGGGCTCGCCCCTCTACTTAATACTAGGTTCAGCTTGCATGACGCAGGTCTCATCCTTTGCCACGTGAACTAAGCCCTTGGAGAAAAGTTGGTAGAGCAATCTTACCAGTCTACAAATAAGTAACTACCCAAGCTTCAAAATGACCAGTGTTGTTAAAGGCGTGCTTCTTTTATTTCTTAGTTGGTGCCTTAATTGCACTTTGGGCTTAAATCTCCAGCAAACATGGCACTATTATTGCTTTTGGCTTTTGACTACAACCATCCTACAGCGATAAGTGCATTTTACTGTTTAACAATTTCAAAATATAAAATGCAATTGCATACACATGTACACTTAATAGCTAGCAATGCAACTTAGATATCTTACTGAAATAGGTTGTCTGAGCCATGAAAACTCCCTAGACTGCACGTTAATTATGGATACATCCATGACCAGTAAGAGAGAAAATAATCCAACCCACTTCAGTCAGATGGTCTGAACTAATTTATTTTATTAGGGCTTGGATAAAATATGTCGCACAGAATTAGAGATCAAAGTTATATCCCTTTGCCTCTCAATAACACTCTGACAAAGTTAGAATTTCTGACAAGTTCCCAAATATAATATTTATTGATAATAATTTTAGAATTCTACTGGCTATGGAACATGTTAAACAAAACCAGCTTGACAGACAACTCTGTTAAAGTAAAATCATAAATATACCCCTGTAACTCAGTTATAGATACATCACCATAGGGACATCAAGATATTAACAAATTTATTTGTCACAATTCTATAGTTCTATCATCCAACAGCTCCAAATCATACTCAATGACATGACTTCCAAAAACTAACTAATTCAAAGAACTTGCACTGTTGCATTGGCACAAGCCCAAATCTCCTGTACTTGGTAACACAACACCTAGTATAAAATTTCTCCATGCACATTGCAAATATAAGCAAAAAAGTTCCTTAAAAGTCAAAACAAAGATGAAAATGGAAGGGCAAGAGAAGATAGGATTACTAACCTGGGCTTTAATGTTGTGTGAGCTGCAATGTCTCTTGAAGAGTATTTTTGAGATGGACCAAATATCCGGGTTCCACCTTGTTCATTGCCACCTTTAGCAGGTGCCCACGTAGGTCTAGCTGCCGTTGTCATATCTTCTGGGTCTCAAGACAAAATCTATACAATAAAATATAAGTTTTACTCAGAAACTGAAATCGGAATGAAATGAGCACAAATAATTCCAAACAAATAGGGAAGATTCATAGTGCTGATCCAACTAGAGTGGCACTATCACATTGTTGATAAAAATAGTAATAAGTACTAAATTCTATGAACAACAATAATAACTAAAACAAAATACTCATCAACTGAAATAGGAACAAAATGGGGTTTAGTAGCATATTCATAAACAGATCCAACTCATTTGGGATTGAGATGATGAAGCTGATGATGAGGATGAAACTCAAAAACCAAGCAGGAACAAAAAATGGGTAAAAAGTGGAATGGTAGGATTCTCATCATTGATACGCAACAGTTTTCGGTTGAGGTAGAATTGATGATGATAATCACAATAATAACAAAGACAACAACAATATTAATAAATTCAAAAACCTGAATCAAAACTTCTTTCGTAAGTCCGGGCAGCTCAATATTGGTGGTAGAGCGAAAATAAATATGAATCAAAGGAAACTACCATAAAATTTATATATTAAGCTAGTGTAAAAGAAAAAGAAAAAAAATACCATATAAACACACAAACATGTACTGAAATAGGAAGGAAATGGGATCGAATAGCCCAGATTTGTTACAGTATTCATATAGACAACCCTAACTAATGATGATGATGAAGACAACAACAACAACATAACCAGTAAAATCCCGCTTGACTTTACCCCTACCTCATCTCGTGGGGGTAGAGAGGTTGTTCCCAAAGGACCCTGAAATCCAAACTGGAATGACGAGGCTGTTTACAAAGGACCCTAAAACCCAAACTGGAATGACAAGTAAATCAGCAGGATTCATATTATTGATCCTTAACAGTTTTTAATCGAGGTAGAATTGATGATCATCATTACCACCACCACAATCACAACAACAACATACCCAGCAAAATCCCACTTAACCTTAGCCCTACCTCATCTCGTGCTCGTGGAGGTAGAGAGATTGCTTCCGAAGGACCCTAAATCCAAACTGGAATGACGAGGCTGTTTACAAAGGACCCTAAAACCCAAACTTGAATGACAAGTAAATCAGTAGGAATCGTATCGCTGATCCTAAACAGTTTTTAATTGAGGTAGAGTTGATGATCATCATTACCACCACCACAACAACAATACTATTCTCCTAACTGCAAGCAGCTCAATATCAATCGTAAAAGCAAAAATAAACACGAAACGAAGGAATCAACCATAAGATTACGCTAATACAAAACGAGAAACACACAAACACATCAACTGAAACCCTAGAAAAACATCATTGCAGCAATTGAAAACATTGATGAACCCTAAATTGAACTAAAATACGAAAAAAAAAATCAAAATACCTAATCTCAGACGCAGAGCGATGGGAGAATCGGAAAAATTGAAACTTCGACCCGAAAAAGTGAAAGAGACAGAATCAATGGAGTCCGCTATCAAAAGATTAAGCGGTTTTCGATCCTTAATTTACATATTTGCCATCATCTTATTGGGCCGTAAATGTGGGTCCAATACTTAGATTGGGCTTTCATGGAGAAAAAGGGCAAAGTTTACAGCCCAATAAGATGATGGCAAGTCCAATATTTTTATTTTTTAATTTTTATTTCTCATGTTTTATTATTAGAAATGAAAAAAGAAAAAATTAAATAAGAATAAGAAACTCAAATAATTATTAAGTTCATATATTCAAGTAGAATTAATATTAATCCCTTAATTTCTTGTTCTTCGACTTTTTGTTAAGACATGTTATATATTTCAGTTATCGCATTATTTTAATGTTGTTCGGTGACTTTTTCTGGATGATGCATAGTGATTTCGTTATTATTTGTTATGTCTGGTTATTATTCTCAACACTATGCTTTTATAAATTGCTTGAGAAATGAAAAGAAAAAAAGAGCTAATGAGAAAAGGAGAGAAAAACAAGGGGAAAAAATAAATTATTTGCTGCTAAATTGTAATTTATTTTTTTATATTCATAAAAGAAAAAAGTTGGAATCTATCATAAAATTTACGAGAAAATAAGTGAAAAAAATAAATAAATTTGACTATTAAAATAATAATAAAAAATTTCACTTAAAATAGGAAATAAAAAAAAGTAAAATATTTTTTAAAATTTTTCGTCAAACCAAAAGGATATATCTAGGTAATTTGTGTAATAGTAGACGTATACTATATATGTAAATCGCTTTTGTAACATGGGATATACAACTCTAGGCCGCAAAATTAAGGGATATAAATAACTTAACAAAATAATGAAAATTGAATGAAATACATAAATATATTGATAGAAACATAATGAAATTCATAAATATCTTAATCTATTTTTTTCCCTATTTTTTTATCGTCAAAATATTCAGTAGCTAATACCATTCCAATATTTCCTTTCACCATGTATAAACTAATTCAGATAATCACCAGAAACAAAAAAGTTTCTATAAATACAGATACACCCAATATATCAAAATTCATTACTACTAGATAAAGAAAATTTGTTTCAACACAAGAACAAACATATCCAACCCTTTTTTAAAAATATATATCATATCTCATTAACCAATTTTCTAACACAAGTTATACATGTTCGAAAACTAACAACTACGATAAACACAAAAATAAAAACTTATATAAATACAAATATCCAATACATCAAAATTTATCACCGCTAAATAAAGAAAAAATCGTTTCAATATCAAAAACAATAAAAACTAAAAACATATTCAAACTCTTTTCTCTTTATTATATATATTTCCACATTAAAAAAAAATTCATAACAAACTTTATAATAATCTATTTATTTTTTTTTCACAATGATAGTGATATATAATTGAGTTATTGATTTGATTTCACAACAATAATATTATGTATTTGCAACATAAAGGGAGGTTGCTACTCACAAATTACAAATGCTCTTTGTCACTTCTCAACCAAATACATAGCTATTTGGATCCTATATATGAGAAAGAAGAGAAGCATTGCATTCAAAAATCCCAAAAATTCTCATCTTTATCAGAAATTAACGAAAACAACAGTTTTTTCAGTGGGAAAATGAGTGATTTGAAGTCGAAGTTCTTGGATGTTTACAAAATACTGAAATCTGAGCTTCTTAATGATCCAGATTTTGAGTTTACTGATGATGGTCGTCAATGGGTCGAACGGGTAATTTTGAATTTCTTCTTTTTTTCCCTCATTTTATTGTTTAGTAGGTGTTTGCATGTGCGATTTGAGATTATGATTTACAATATAGATTCATATTATGTTAAATAATTGCTATGTACTTTAGCATAATTGGATAGGTTGTTGATGAACAATGGGTTGCTCATTTGGTAAGAATTTGTAGAAGATTTGGAATTGATAGTTTTTACAACTTGCGTGGTTTTCTTGTTTATGAGAAAAAATCCAAATTATAACTTCAAATCAATCTGATTTCAAATCATGTTCAAGCGGTTCAAACGGGACCTTAGTTTATAGAACTACCGAATAGGAAACAAAGGGCCATGAAAGATTCATATGGTGGATAAGGAGTTGATGTAAAGCATTGATACAGTTTTGGGATTCAAAAATTGATTGATTGAGCTGTTTAAGTGCATTTTGATTTGGTTTCTTTATGTTGAAATCGTGCTTTTGATATTGTTTTTAGCCGGTTTCTTTGTGCTAAATATTTTTTATCCTTCACACTCATGGGAAAATCTTTTTTATTTTTGTAGGAATTTCTTTCTTTACAATAAAGTTTTGATTTTTATCATTTTATTCATGTTATTGAGACCCACATGGGTGGTGGGATGAGGATTAGGACCTTACATTATTTGATAGTGCTTGAATTCATTTTTTCCACTAAAGAGAATTGGCCTTTCTATGCTAAGCTTGGGGTTGCAAAAATTCAACCTTATTTGTGATCAACTGCACAAGAAAATGAGTACATAAGGATGCGTCTGTAGCATCGGAAGGAAAGTAATCTCAACTATCTTAATGAGAGAGGCATTAAACATTGTATTGATAATGGAATGTAAGTTAAAAAGGAATTAGTTTCCCCTCTACCTTGTGCTCCGAACATACTGTGAAGAAGTAAAATTTTGATGTTATAAAAGGATATATAGTTTATTTCAAATACACCTATTGGAACCCACCATCTCATTATTTGAGACTGCATGCGGTTTTGCTGGGTGTTTTATGTTTTTCCAAGGGTGGAAGTGGAGAACACTTACTGCTTTGTTGTTTGTTTTTACAAAGAGTAATAGAGAATTATTAGTTAATATCTTTGCAACAGGGGGATCTAAGCATTAACTTGGAGTAAGTGAATTAGTTAAGTGAGTTAGGAGTGGTGTGACAGATGCTGCACCCGCTCCTAACCTTCTGGTTCCTCCAATGTTTTATGATTACAGTAGAAAGAGTTGTGGGGGATGTATTATCTCTATTCTAAAAGTTATAGTTGAAAATGTCAAAATAGTTTATTTGGGTTATTACTCATAACTCGTACAACATAAACTAGCTGTTTTTTTGAATGTCAGTTCATTACTTTTGATATGACAAATTTCTAACATCATTATGTTTAGTAATTTTGATATGACAAGTTTTTGACTTTATTACAGCCTTAGGCCAGCTTCTGTTCATTTTTACTGTTTCCCGAGTTAGTGCATTTTCCAGAAAGCCAGTGTCTCAATTTGTCCTCGTTTTTGCATCTAATATATACTTCTCGCGATTGTTTCAGATGTTGGACTACAATGTACCTGGAGGTTGGAATGATGTCCTAGTTCTACCTATTCTACAAGTTTCTACTGCTTTAATAATTCTTCATAGCTAGAAGGTTTTATTCCAAGTACTTTATACACTCTCTGTACAGGAAAGCTGAACCGTGGGCTCTCTGTTATTGATAGCTACAGTTTGTTGAAAGAAGGGAAAGAACTAACCAGTGAGGAAATCTTTCAAACATCTTCCCTTGGCTGGTGCATTGAATGGGTATGCAACATAAGCACTCTTCAGGCTACACCTGAGTCTTTTTTCTAACCCCCAAGAAGCATTGTTGGTTTTTAAATTCTTCTGAGTGTATGGTCTGTGGGTGTGTATGCTGCAGCTTCAAGCATATTTCCTTGTTCTTGATGATATGATGGATGGGTCTCATACACGCCGAGGTCAAAAATGCTGGTTCAGATTACCCAAGGTGTGTGTGTGCGTGAGCTAAGGGACTACTGTTTTTCTCTTTGAACTCTGTTGAGAGTGACTATTGTTTTATTATTTCTTGCAGGTTGGCATGATTGCTGCTAATGACGGCATACTTCTTCGCAACCACATACCAAGAATTCTTAAGAAGCACTTTAGAGGAAAGCCTTATTATGTTGATCTTCTTGAATTGTTTAATGAGGTGAGACTTTTTATGCATAAGGAGGCCTCTGAATTGACTCTTTATAATGCTGAACATTTTTCCTTTTTTCTCTTTGGCTTTGTTTTTACAGGTGGAATTTCAGACTGCCTCTGGACAAATGATAGATTTGATTACCACACATTCTGGAGAGAAAGATTTATCAAAATACTCGTTGCCTATGTAAGGAGACTTCATCAAGAGTCTTGTAAAAAAATTCTGCTTTTAGTTTTACTTGAATTATTTAACTAATTCATGATGTGATTTCATGCAGTCATAGGCGGATTGTCCAGTATAAAACTGCTTATTATTCATTTTATCTCCCAGTGAGTATGATGTTCCTTCCTAATTGAGTTAACAGCTTGTTAGTCACTATTCTATTATGAGGAGATCTTCACATCTATTTCTTTTTCTGAACATTTGTGTTGTGTGGAAGACATCTGATGTCCTAAAACAATCTCAAATTTCTGAATCAACTTGAAGTAAATTAGCTATTTGCAACTTCCAGAAAACATATTACCCAACTTCTTATTTTTAGATTTCCGCCTGAGCCAACCGTGCCCTTTTCCCATTTATTTACTTTTGATGTGTCTGTTGTTTTTATTCTCCTAGGTTCTTAATTGTAAGCAAACTTCAAAAGTTTTGTGCATGTTTAGTTTGGTTGATCTTTTTGTTCCTCTTAATGAACTCTCTGTAGAGATTAATGGGAATTACCTGAAGATTGATGTGCATTTAATTATGGTATATACAAATTACTTCTTCAATATTTTCAGGTGGCATGTGCACTTCTTATGGCAGGAGAGAATCTTGACAATCATGTTAATGTCAAGAACATACTACTCGAAATGGGAATATATTTCCAAGTTCAGGTAAGAATTATGATTAACCCTGATGCATCCATTCATTTCTATCTTCTATACCATGAGATCTGTGTGACGACATTTCCACATATCATAAACCAATTCTTTGCTTAACAGATAATCTTTTAAGAGGGTTTGGTTTTGGTTTTTGATGTAGTTATTTAATGAAACTAGTTTCATAAATATGATTGGAATACAGTTTTGAAAAACACTACTTGTTCGGATTAGGTTTTGGATGTTAGATTAGAGCTAAA